AGATGAAGAATATAGGGCTGAGAATAAACAAAAAATATTCTTTGGCTGTTCTTGAAAAATATTTTACTGATTTTCACTTCTGTATGGTTGACTCCTAGCTGCAAAATAAAGAGTTCCAAAGTATGTGACCCACCAGTATTCTGGCCTGTCAGTGAGCCAAACTGGTTTTGGTGTAGATACTTTCTGATTGCCTTTTCTTAAATAAAGAAGAAAATCCTGCCTCCATAAAAGCCCATGTCAGTTCTGGATATATTTCTACATATGACAAATTAAGTTCCAGACTCTTAGGAAGATCAAAATTAAATGTAATTTTAAGGAACTTGATCAATATACAGATAAAGCCATTTTTCATATCACAAGCAGGATGAGGTATTGACTTATAAGAAATTACTTTACAGAAAATACGGGAAGGAAACAGCTTTGTGTATTTGCATGCAGAAGCAAATGGAGAGAAGACAGGCTATTGTAAATTGTTGTTGGATATAGAAAATAGACTTGCTGGATATAGCAATGGACTTGAGATAAGTTCTTCTCTTTCTTCTGGGACAGTCTACAAAAGGAAGAAACATGTCCATGCTAAAGAAAGACAAACCATTTCTCTTCTCTATAGTAGGGGTTCCTTTTTTGGGAGAATTTCTTAAAGTTTCAAAATGTCTTACTTTTGAATTTATTGCTTGTGTCTTTGTCATGTGCAGTTCGTTCATGATAATTCCATTTTTCTATATTAGATGGTAGAGATTTGTTACTTGGCACTTTGTCCTGTCACATAAATGAATGTGTATCTGAACTTTCAGACAACATTTGAAACTGATAGCAAGTATCATGAATAATTCCTACATGATTTGCATTCCCTAAGATATTTCCCTTTAGAATCCTTTGACTGACTGCATTCAAAAGTAAACCCAAATCCCAAATTCACGTCTGCAACAGTAATTTCTTTCTTACAACCTGGTCTGTAGTTTGTAGCTATTTAGCTACAATTTCCTTCAAATAGTAAGTTGAAGCAACTAAAAGACTTTTGGTGAATATTTTATTTATAAATGTTGAGGATAAACTAACATCCACTGAATAGATGAGAAAAAGGGGACCAAATTCATGCTGTAAGGGGACCTTTCACAGTGTATTTATTCAGTCAGTACAGGATCTGTATGAGATCCTATAGAGAAGCCTATGAGAATTTCTTGAAAGTGGAATCATTAATTTTTCAAGATTAAGTTATAAACCAGTGCCCTTTGTTGCTAATGCTTTTTGTCACTAGAGTTTATTTTTCACTTCTCATCCATCCAACAACAGCAACTAAATGTGTATTTCTATTTTTATGCTCAGATGTTTTTTCTCACAGTACTAGTCACTGATGAAAGTGTGGAATGTGGATTTGGGATTTAAAGTTTGTGCAAACATTGAGATGAATTAGATCTAATGCTGTTCTTCTTTTTATTGCTGAATCTTTACTGCCATTTAATAGGGAAGATTTTAATTCTATATTTTTCTTGAAGTTGATGAATGAAATGAGACACTTTTCTCCTCTGTAGACTGCCAGAGCGTCCTATGATCTTGCAGGTACTCTGATAGGAAAACTTAAAGGGCATTTGAGGTCCATTATGAAAGATTGTGGAGGAACTACATCAACCTCTTGTTCTTTCTTTCTATTTGATTTACCCTTCAACTCAGTGAATACTTGTTCTGTAATTTAACAGCACTCTGGAGAGCTCTGGCAACAAATGTCTTGTTTGTGTATGAAGAACTACTGTATCACAAGGATATAATTATTTTTTCATAAAATCAAAGAAAGATTGATTTGGAAGAGAACTCATATGATCATCTGGTCAAGCTCCTTTGCAAAGCAGGTTCAGCCCCAGGTTGCTCAGGGCTTTGTAGTTACATTTTGAAAACTTTCAAGGACAAAAACTTCTACAGTATAACCTCTCTAGACAAGCTTTTCCAGTTTTTCTTACAGTGTTGTAGTTTTGAAATCCATTCTCCTTCCTGAACATCAAAGACACCAAAGATATTCTTCTGAGCTACCAAAAAGTCTCTGCAGAGGTATGAAAATAATGTGTGAAGAGTGACTAGAAAAGAAAGTCACGCATGCTACCAAATCTGTAGCATCATCTCGTACCTTCAGATAGGAAAAAAAAAACAAGAGGGAGAAGTTTAAGACAATGGATGATTGCCTGGAAGAAAATCTCTGCGGTCCAATGCCTGACTTTCTTCTGGTGGTGTCTCTTCATGTAGAGAAAGAATAGAGGGACTGAATTGTTTTAAGCCAACTTCTTCCTCTTCCAGCAGAAAATTGCCATTGTCTGTAATTTGGGTCACTCTTCATTGTCATGATTCAGTCACTTACTGTTTCATTCTCACCGTCATCCCTGTGTGGGAGTGAAATGGGCATGTTGATGGCATTTGTAGATTTTTGTTGTAATTTACGATTACTTCTGGAAAAATTAAATTCTTTTGAGACCCCCATATCACCCCAAATTCAGATGAAAGTTGAAACTGGCATCTTCTTCCCACTGGAGCTAACAGGCCAGCAGTCACAAAGTGGGACTTTCTCCCACCTGGAAATTACATGGGAGTATTCTGCAGAGTGTCAGCAGATGAGCTCTCTGTCAGACGTCGTCAGCAGGTGAAGTGCATTTGAATAGGCCGGTGAGTTGTGTTTTACAACTTCTGCTACCCTTCCAGTCTTCTACTAGAGTAAGGTTAAATGAACCTTCTCATTCACAGCAAATTAATGCTGTGATGCTTCTTAGAGCTATTGTTCCAGACTTTCTTTGCAGGCATTAGACTGCTCATAATTTCAACTGAGAGAAATGGGTTGAACTCTGGACACTGTAAGTGTGGATTTTGTTATGTGGGGTAGCCCAGAGGTTCAAGGGGCTGTGCCCTTAATTGATTTGGACTTCTCTGTAGAAGTGTAGCTGTGTGTCACAATTAAAGTAAAACATTATATGACTGCCCCAAAGATGGAGCTTTTTCCATCCAGTTTTCCAGTTTTAGTGATTTCTAGCTGTATGAAGACGGAAAGCTTGGACAACAATAGCTTTTGCTGAATTTCATGCTGTCTTTATTATACACTTTCTCCAATAATTTAAAATTTTCTATAGAGGAACTCTCTCAAGACCCTACTCAAAAATACCTTTTTGGCCCATTAAAGATAACTTTGCAGCAACCATGCTTATGTTGGGTTGTGTAAACATGGATATTTGTTTTCATTTTGAAACAGCCTGAAATTGAGCTTGTCTTCATTGCCAAAGCCAAAGAGAAAGTCACTTGCTATCATTTACATCGCTTCCCTTTTGGATATGCCAGTTCTCTGCAGTGGAAAAGAATCAGCGCAACCAAATGTCTGTTTTGAGGATTTTAAAATTTCCTAAAATTATGAGGGAAATTCTTCTTGGTTACTGTGCTGAGAAGTTTATTAATTATTTGTTTCTGTTATCTTCAGACCCTTTGTTTCAAAGGCCATTCAAAGCACTGAATTATCTCCAAATGATTAGGGCACTTAGCATATACTTCTGAGTGCGCACTTACATGTTTCAGGCAATTGCTATTTTTATTTGAAAATCTGTGAATGGTTGTAGGCGTTTCTTGTCTTTCTGGTTTAGCAAATTGTGAATGTGGTGTGGTCTGATTTCTTTGTCTTCTCTTATCTTTGTATGAACAGAAGATACAAGACTTGCATCCCTGATTTTATTGTTGTCATCTATGCTTCCTCCCTGACAATTTTTCCTTACAGTGCTTTTTCTAGATACTTTCTCCACTTACTGGCATGTGCCTTTCTTTTGGACATCAAGGAATTGCTTTATGCTTGGGGGGTTCGTTTGATCTTAAAAGATGGAGACAGAAGCCCTTGTTTGAACTGGTTATTTATTTATTTTTTTATCCACATGATTTTTCCTGTTACTTACCTAATGTCAGAAGTGATCTCGTCGTCAGAAGCCAAAGGGCTATAACTGAGCTTTTTAGCGGAACTGCTTCTAAAGGAAGATGCATGGTCCTCAGCCTGGCTTTTTAGGCCAATTAAATTTGAGCATGAGAAAAGTTCATTAAAGTTTTTCCTCTTCTGTTTTCTGAATGCCTGCTAGTTTGATATCATTTGTCCAACGGCTTTGAAGTGATAACTCCCGTGGCACTCAATAGGGGTGTACTTGGGAAAGCCAGAAGGAGCCCCTATGTCCAGCCATCTAGAACTGAGCTTGAAGATCTGCTGGGATCCAAGCAACCACTAATATTATCATTAACAATTAACATTCTATTCTTTTCTTTTCTTTTCTTTTCTTTTCTTTTCTTTTCTTTTCTTTTCTTTTCTTTTCTTTTCTTTTCTTTTCTTTTCTTTTCTTTTCTTTTCTTTTCTTTTCTTTTCTTTTCTTTTCTTTTCTTTTCTTTTCTTTTCTTTTCTTTTCTTTTCTTTTCTTTTCTTTTCTTTTCTTTTCTTTTCTTTTCTTTTCTTTTCTTTTCTTTTCTTTTCTTTTCTTTTCTTTTCTTTTCTTTTCTTTTCTTTTCTTTTCTTTTCTTTTCTTTTCTTTTCTTTTCTTTTCTTTTCTTTTCTTTTCTTTTCTTTTCTTTTCTTTTCTTTTCTTTACCTTCTCACTCAAGTCCATGTGTTTCACAATAGTCCTTAGTTGTTCTCTGTGTGGAGCTTTGAATAGTGTAGATTAACCTGAAATAGGTTGAGGCTTCTGTTCAGTCACTCCTCTGTTAGAGTTCACCATCACAGATATTTGCAGGAGCTAACGTGAATGGAGAATCCTTGACAACATGTTGCATGCATCCAAGTGCTTCTTAAAATATTTTAATGCTGGCTAGATCTTCGCAGCAGCTCATGTCTGTTTAATGAAATTGAAATGTTTACTGTGTATTTATGAACATTATAAGCCAAATGAAGAATTCCTCTCAAGTGTGACTGAATGTGTTCTATCTTGTCATTGTTGTACTATCCTTGTGGGTTTTGCTACGTTTGTGTCTTTTCTGTTTTTGTTTTTGTTTTTTTTTTCCAGAATACAATACATTTTCAAATGCATTGAAGAGATGCCTTAGACAAAAGAAGGAGAACTCTGTGTTCAGTCAGCGAACAGATGAAGCATCTGCTGCTCAGTATTTTCAGGTAATGAAACTTCAGTGCCAATTTGTGCAATTGAAGTTACTGTTGTTTACTTGACTTTAGTCACCAGGTCAGTTAGAAAGATAGCTTAGGTTTATTTGGAGAGTGGTCAGGACCTTTGTAATTTAAGTGCCAAGTCATTTAAGGTAAGTTTGGTCGAAGATGGGCTTTATCTTTTTTTGTTTTCCTTCTTTTTAGTTTTATAGCTGTCTGTCTCAACAACAGAACATGATGCAGGATTTTGTGAGGACAGCCACTTATCATAGAGCTATCCTACAGAACTACATAGATTTTACAGACAAGGTAAGCTCCATTAATTGTTTTAAATGTTCCAGTATGCTACTTAGGCTCTCAACTTCAATTTGCCCTGTAACGCAACACTGGTCAGAGCAAAGTCTTTTCCGACCTGGGACTTCATGCATGAATATATTAATTCATATGTGCTTTATGTTATCAATGTTATTGTCAAGCACGTGGATGACAATACATGATGGTGATGATATGTTGTTAGGATGAATGGCTCTGAACATGGATCCAAACATGAGCTACAAATTCCTCTGCTGTTTTCTGTGGACAATCTGGAAGCCTAGACGTAAATGTTTCTTGACATTTTGGGCTGTTATTACCATTTGGCATCTTGGAGCTCATGTACAATATTAATTTCCTTGTCTTCACTGTTGTCTGTGTGTTTGCCATTGTGCCATATAGTCTGTTGCAAATACCTGCAAAGGTATTCTAGTTTATGTGTCTTTAGTGTAGGTCTACACTGAATGTTTTTGCACCCGACTATCATTACAAACTGAGCAAGGGCATAAGTGGCTGCTGTGACTCCATTTGTACAAGGTAAAGATTTGGAAACAATACAGGAACTTACAACTTCAGATGCCAAACTCATCTCTGAAGTATGTACATAGATCTCGAAGACTACTGTAATGAATGTAATTAAGATTATTACTTCTTTATCTAGTTCTCTGCTTCTCCCATTATCCAAACCTGATAGTCCAGCAAAAGACAAAAGAAGATTTACTCTGGGGAGATCTAGGATGGTCTGCCTCCCAGACACAGATTAAAGTTGTTTTCCAATTTCATTCATTTAGGGTCCTTGAAATGCAAAGCACAGGATTGGTATATTTTACAGTGAATTTTTTTTTTCTTTTTTGGTTATTTTGCAATTAGTCACACTAACGAGGGATTTTCTGGTCCTCTCCAGGACCAGTCTCCATGCACCATCTGCCCTGATTCCACCCTTAATACAGCAACAAATTCCATAATAATAATCACACATTATGCAGAACAGTATCTAACAGTATCTCCTTTAGTAAGATTTTTAATTTATCAGCTTTCTAATTCTGTCATTTGCTCTTACATTGTGAGGCAAAGGAGGATTGAAGTTCTAATTTTCTTTATGTTGTTCCTCCGCTGTTTCAATTTTTGTTGTCTCTTATGTAGTCTTGCTTCTGGGGTCAGTGTTCTCAGTCCTCTATGTCTTTTTCTGTGTGAAGAAATTGCACATGCCCTGTTGTCACGCTTGCCCTCTTTCTCAGTGTCACCAGGAGCTCTGCAGCACCTGTCTTGAGAAGGATTGACAGGAGTTACGCATGGTAGTGTCGACAAAGCCATACAATCCATTTATATTGCAGAATTCTGACTTCCTAGTTACTCTTTACTGTACTTCTCTTAAATCTTCACTTTTTTCTTTTGGGACTGCATCTGTCCATTGAGTGTTGATTTTCATCAAACAATACATTTGTGTTTCTTGCTGTTGATGACGATTCGTTTAGAACTTGGATCATGCATGTACAGTTCATATTTACCACAAAGTTTATATTAATCAGCACTGAGTTTAATTTATCTGTGCATTGTCCAGACCTACCTTTGGTAGCTCTCTCTGCTCTTTAATCACTGGACGTTGTGTGATCTTGCTATCTCACTGCTCACCTCTGTTAATTTCACTGAATTTCACTGAATTTCACTGAATTTCTAGAGTTGGAAGGGACCATAGAGATCATCTAGTCCAACTCCCCTGCTGAAGCAGGATTGCCTAGAGCTAGAGCATGTTACTCAGGACTGCATCCAGGCGGGTTTTGAAAATCTCCAAAGAAGGGGACTCCACAACCTCCCTGGGCAGCCTGTTCCAGGGCTGTCACCCTCACCGTGAAGAAGTTTCTCCTCATATTTGAGTGGAACCTCTTATGTTCCAACTTGTGCCCGTTGCCCCTCGTCCTCTCGGTGGGAACCACTGAAAAGAGTCTGGTTCCCTCCTCCTTCAACCCTCCCTTGAGATACTTGTAGGCGTTGATAAGGTCTCCCCTCAGCCTTCTCTTCTCCAGACTAAAGAGTCCCAGCTCTCTCAGTCTCTCCTCATAAGGGAGATGCTCCAATCCTTGAATCATCTTTGTAGCCCTACGCTGGACTCTTTCTAATAGTTCCCTGTCCAGCAAAAAAATTATATTAGACTGCATGTGACTTTCTGTAAGCAAATAGGCCGTTTGTGAGCAGCAGCCTAGCAGGAATGTTTTCTACGTCTCAGAAATGTCAGCTGAGACCTTGTAAGCTCTGTTTATGATGTTTGGGCAGCAGACTGCAAACAAAAACAATGGAGAAAATGAAACTGCAATTATTATTTTTTTGTACCTTTTGTCTTCTCTCTCTCATCTTTCTGTGGGCAGTATCTTTTAAAAGGAGCCTCTCACTTCAGCTCACAACAGCACAAATCACTACATCACAGAAAAGAGTAGAGTCTTTAATAACATATAAGCAAATACTCAACAAAACATTACCCTTTAAATGTGTAGCATATTTATGGCCAAAATGAGGAGAGCTGTAAGTGTGGGATTTGTCAGAATTGTTTTAAGATTGTTATGTTTTAACTGTTAATTAAATTTAGTACTAAATTCAAGTGCAGCTGAGAGCTTTTCTTTGCTGTGCAACTTAGGTAAACTGTGCTTCTTTAAAAACTATGCTTAACTATTTACTTTCATAGAAAAGAAGCAAATAGTTTTCAATTGCTGTAGTTTCTCTCAGGCCTGAGACAATCCTCCTCTCTATTTTATTAAACAGCAGTGAGAGGATTTTATTTGCCGTTGGCTTCTTGCCAAATAGGATGCTCCCATGTTATCATGCAAAAGGCAGATTTATCTCTGTAGGTAACACATACATTTCCATTTTTGTGCCTGCAGTAAGGAATTCAGGTTTTGCATACTCCTTGCCTCTGTAGGAAATCTTGCTGTGCAGTAGTACAGCTTGCTTGTGTTTGCTCTTGGTTTATTTATTTTTCCAGCAGTTGGAGGTGCCTTGGCTTCTCTTCAGCATACCTAGTAGTAACACTGTTGAAGACTGGGTGTTGGTGGCCACCCACCTAGAAAATGATGTCTCTTTTTCCTGATTCTGTTGAGAAATGGCAATTTTCAGAATAAATGTAGCTGAAAAAATTAAACTACCTACATTGCAGCAGAATGCTTTCCCATGAGAACCTGTGAAACCCATTGTGCTGAGACTTGATCTGTTGGAAATACAGCAAGTATATTTATCCTACATTCAGAAACTGTAAGACAGGCAGAAACATTTAATGATGGCAGTGAAGAGATAGAAAAGGCAAAAAGGAAATAATTATTTTAATACTTCCATTATTGGAATTTTTTAAATTCAATTGCTGTTTTATTGTTTCCTACCTACTCTGCATTCCCCCAATATATTTCTTTATCTTTGCTGCCTCTTTCCCTAAATTCTGTAGTGATTTATTATAAAAGCATTTTTGCCTATAGTGAACGGATATCTGGTGATAATATGTATTTTTTTTTTATTCTAAGCCTTCTTTGCTTTTGATAAAATATCTGTATGAGAAACTGCAACTGGTTATCCGAGTTGTGCTGGACAAAATTAATTCTGGACCTTTTGAGAGGGTTCTTGGTGATAAATTTAACATTGTCAGAGGTAAGCTACTTTAGGACAAGCTGGAGGTAGTGCTTGGATTGACCATTTGTGTCTACACATCCTAAAAGAATAAGAAGAACTCATTCAGAATCTAATGAATCTGAGGCTGAATTCTTCACATTAGTAAGTTAATTCTTACCTGCATATACTCCGTTATACTTACTCTTAGAAGGAGTCACCTCAAAGCTTCCACTAATTTTTTAGTAAAACTTTGTCTCAGATTTTGAATTGTTACGGAACCAGAAGGGGGAGTCTTAAGTGTTTTAGTTGGTTATATGAAAATAAAGGCTCGTAACTAAATTTTACAGTAGTAGAGTATAATGCTGTTTCAAACTGAGTAAAGGCTGGCACATTTCTACTTCTTTTGAAAATAAGTCTTAGTTTCTGAGCCTTTTGAATTTTTTCATTTGTAGTCTATTTATGAATAGTTTACTTAAAGGAAAGCAACTAGAATTAGAGTATCTCCAATGATCCTGGATGAAGGACCACACAAGTTAACCATTCACATTGAGCAGTCAAAAGCACATGCTAAAAAAAAAAAAAAGTTTTTTTTTATATATAATCTTGCTGATATATAGTAGTTAGGAATTATAAATGTCATTGTAGATATATGACATTTTTGCTTTTAGTTTTATGTGTTCACCCTGTTGTTGCTCTTCCTTGTTTAACCTCTACCTCCCACCCCTTTTATTCAAAAGTACTTTTCAGGACTCTGTGCAAATACTCAAGCATACCAGAATATTTGCACATGTGAGTAATTCCCATTAAATTCACATTAGGAAAGCTATTCATCTGTGTAGGTGAAAGCAGAATCAGTACTGAACTGTGGTCAGAAGAGTAGGGTATAGGTTATTCCTGACTCTGATTTCTGATAATTGCTGAAGTAGCTGCATTCACATTTCAAAATAAATGTTGAAGCACAGTCTGCTGCCTTTCCTCTGCATATGTGTGACATCATCATCACCGAAGTGTCTATTATTTATTTTTAAATTCTGCTTTTCAGAAAGTACCATGTATTGTTATTTCACAGTACTTTGTCTTATTGACTGCTCTTGCAGCTCTGTGAGGATGGTCTACCTACCTAGAGGGAGCAAAGCTTTCTGTGGGAGATGCCAGTGATAACAGCAATGCCACTTGGGGACCAAGGTGTGCTATTGCAGGCTCATTGGATTAAAGAAATTTACATCAGAATGGCCCTCTGGACATCTCTAGTCCAAACAGCTACTGAAAGCAGAGCTAACTAGACCAGGTTGCTTAAAGTCTCTCCAGTTAGATTTGGAATGGTTCCAAGGATGGACGTGCAAGAGATTCTGTAGGCAGTCTGTTCCAGTGTCTGACAGCACTCGTGGTGAAAAAGTTTTACTATATCTGGCGGAATTTCTTCTGTAATGATTTGGGTCCATTGCCTGTTGTGCTATTACTGTGTGTCTCCTTCAAGAAGAGTCTGCCTCAGTTCCCTCTGCACTCCCAGTAGGCAGATAAAGACAGCAGTAAGCTCTTCCGTTATTCTGTCTCCTCTTGTTAAAACTAGACAAACTGATTTCTCTCAAGCCTCTCCTCATATGTCACGTCCTTCAGCCACCTAAATTATCTTGGTGGACCACCCAAGGTGGACCTTGGGGGACTTGCTGCAATATGTCAGTGTCTGTCTTGTGGTGGGAAGATCAAAACTGGACAGTTTCCCAAATGTTATTTTAAAAATGGCCTTTCCCTGACCTCTGCTGGTAGCAGTCTTGCTAATACAGCCCAGCATGCAGTTGTCCTTGGCTGGAAGGGCTGACTGGTATTGAGTTTGTTGTACAGCAGGAGGACCTTTAGGTCTCTTTTTTACAAAGCTGCTTTCTAGCAGTTATCCTCTCGCTAGAAGCTGGGAATGTTCATTAGCAGCAGATTGAGTAGAACAGCTCCTCTGCTCAGCTTATTGATCACCACTATCAGGAAATTATCAAGACACTCTAAAGATCCCCTGGATTGGTTGTCCCCCACCCTTCCAGAAAGAATTGGGGTGGTTGAGTTTCCTGATAAGTAATAGGACCTATGATCATGAGGCTTCCTCCAGAAGGCATTGTTTCCCCCATTTATCAAGTGGTCTGTAACAGATGCCTGTCTCAATAATAGCTGTATCCCTACCCTTTGTCTTCTCATTCCTACCTGTAAGCTCTCAGTTAGCTCATTGCCTGTTCCCAGAGCTCCACGCACTTGAGTTATTCTTTGCATAGAGTTTCACCCCTCCTCCTGACCTTCCCAGCCTGTCCTTTCTGACAGCCTGTAGCCATCCATCACAGCATTAGCTGTGCAAGCTATCTCACCATGTCTCTGTAATCCCTATGAGAGGAAAACTGTCCCTCTGTGCATGGACTTCAGATTCCTCATGTTTGTTTCCCATGCTATGTGTGCTTGTGTACATGCCTGTCAGATGGCTCCCCTGTCAGGCTGCTTTTACAAGGGTTACATGGGGGCCCTCCGTTGTGCTGTCTCCTGAACTCTTCTCCTCATGCATTCACTTTTCTTCCAACAAGGATGACCTCCAACAGCATATACCTAGTTTTTCAGGACTTGTTAGGTTGGAAAACTGATGGCAAAGATACTCTCGCCCTGCTTTTTTAGATGGTCCTGTCTCTCCCCAGTAGTCTGCATTCCTCGAGAAGGTACTGTGCTCATAAAAGCTGAATTTCTGTCTGTGGTACCAGCTGCTCAGCCACTTGTTGGTGCTCAGGGATTTTTCCACTAACAAGCGTTTATGAAGATCCTGATTATCTCTTGTTCAGCCTCCCCAGTGATTAACAGTCAGCTCCTCTCCACCCTTCATACCTGACGGCTCTTCGCAGCCAGAGCTCACCTCCCCACAGGTCACCATCAATCCCAGCCTCAGGGAGGGCCATCATCCATTCCATGCAGCCCAGCACCCACACAGCAACATCCTCCCTTATAAGTTCTATCCTGGATCAAGGTCTCTGGTGTGCCAAGGGCTTTTAATCTAGCAAGTCTTACAGGGCATGCCAATGCCTTGTCGTGCAGCCTCCAGCAATTCCTACATGTGTCACGTATGGTTTCTGATCCCCTTTTCCTCTTGCTTCACTAATTACTGGGCAAATACTACCTCAGTGTCAGCTGCTTCAGTTTGCTGTGCTCGTTTGTATCTTCGTTAGAGTCTTAATGTGGTTCTGGAGTCAGCTTCTGCAGTGAATTTATATCACGGACACTGATGGTGCTTCAGTTCACATTGTGGAGTGGTCTTAGAGTAGGCAAGCTGGATTAATTTTGGAAGAAACTGAACTGGACTAAGATAGAAGAAAATCAGATAAGGATTAGTCTTAGTAAATCATCCAGAAGAATAATGTTCCAATACAGCAATACTACCTGCTGATGTAGACATAGGTATAGTGTAAGAAATGGCATCAGAATTGGGTCTAGCTGTATTTCTCCATTGGATATTTGATGTTGAACTTGAGCAGTTGATTCTTTCTTATATTTTAGACATGTGCAGAGAGAAAACATTATTGTATTTGTGGTTGCCATTGGGTATTGAGAAATAGCCTACCAAACCTTCTGTCAGACCTATAGTTCAATGAATTTGTCCTTGACTTGTCATTGTCTCCCTCTTTACTTATGTAACTGATACTTACTGTCACTGGGTGTTCTGAAGAGCTGGTTCTTCTGGGCATAGGGGCATATTCTAACGCCTGCCAAGCGTAGAAACAAAACTGGATCTGTAACAGCCTGTTATCCCTGACATAAAAAATGAGCTTAATAAAATCTTTCACTAGTAAAGGAAATTATTAAAGGCAAGGTTCTGGCTTTTGTGCCAAAGTTGAGACTATGTGCAATAGCAGAAGCAATGTTAGTTTTGCAGTGGAGTACTTCTGTAACACAGATTAATATTATCTACAACACAGCCATGTGTGTTACGACTGCATTCTTTAATGTATAACCTATATGTCAAGTAGAGTAACTTTTAGAGAGTGGAATATGCCCTTCACTCTAAGAGATTATTTTTCTGTCGGAACTATTCTATGTTAATACACGTTTTCTCTTTGTGTTCTTAAAGGCTGATAAGCAATGTGCATTATATGGGAAGTTGGGGCAGAGAGGCAATAAAGAACAGGGGTAGCTGGTGATATACTAAGGTGCAGTGTCGCTCTGTATCTGTATGGTATTTAAGCTTCTCTGCTCTTGACTCTTGAGATTGAATCAGAGCTGTAGCTTGGTTTCATGGTTGAAGTGCTTTGAAATCTGAGGAAGTTTCAGTTCAAGGTGGCTTAAATCACCTAACGGGCTGGTGAGTTCCATATCTTTGATCAAAATTTAATTAAAATTTCAGCCACAGGGACAGGAAAACTGTTGCTTCTTATTTTCAGTCAAGCACAAACCCATAGGAGGAACCTGAATAGTGAGTGGTTATGTGACATTTTTCTCCAAGCTGATGTTAAAATTTTGGGGAAGCAAGGTACTGGTACTAGCAGACTTCTGTTGGGCAGTATAAAAGTGGGCTTTGCATTGAAGATCACATCAGTGACATCCTCTTAGCCATTTCTCCAACAGTTAGGCTCCCTTTCTGTGTACTGATGTACAACAGAACAAAGCTGGGAACAAGAGGCTTGTCTGGACCATTCCAGCCCTCGCTGGCTTTGCATTGCAGTGTACACTGAAACAAAAACTTTGACCCTTTGAAACATTTCAGTCAGTATTTTGGCTTCCAACAGGTGAGCTACCTGACTGATGGAGAAGATGAGGCTGGATTTATGTTTAGCTGAGGGCCTTTGAGAGACACCACATAAAGCAGTACAATTAAAGGTCTAATACTAACGCCAGCAGGCAGAGCCAAGATTTGAACAAAGATACATAGTTTGTTTTTATCCAAAGATACTTCCACATGATGGAGTGATTTTTCATAAAGAAAGACACAATTCTGTAGTTCTTCAAAGAATTATTACTGTAATCTTTTCCCTCCCTCCCCAGAGTATTCAGACTACACTTGTTTTTCAGATTTTTCTCCTAAAGAAACTTTGTTATAAAATCCTATTACCTCCAAACCATAACCATGTATTTACACATGACTATAATTCATAGTCTTTTAAAAATAAACTGCTGCTGCTAAAATAAAGATTAAGGGCATTAAAACTTTTCATTAACAGGCCTTTCCACTTTTTCAAGTGAAATTAGTGATATTTTTGCATAATGTCAGGCTTACTAAATGCAGGGTACAGCTATGAAAATGTAGCTACTTAAAAGAGGTGTTAGGAAATGACTTTTTGATTATTTTGTTCCTTTTGGTCTGCGTTTTGTTTTCAAGGTGGTCCTAGATGTTGGCTGCGGATCAGGAATCCTTTCATTTTTTGCAGTGCAGGCTGGAGCTAGAAAAGTCTATGCAGTTGAAGCCAGTTCAATGGCAAAATATGCAGAGGTAAGTGTTTTTCACCTGAAGCAAGTGTTAGAAAGGTGTAGAGTGAAAATGTTAAGAGATCTAGAACTGTGCCTTGAAAAGGCTGAAGGCTTCGGTGTGATTTTTCTAAGAAGCTGTATCTCTAATGGGCAACACTTTTTGGAAGGTAATTTTTGAAGGTATTCTAATGTGTCAAGTCAATTAAACGTATGATTGTTGTTTCTGTGAAAAATGGTGAATAGTCATAACTGTGATTAAAGTTTTTACTTTCAGAAGGAAAAAAAAATTAAACCAGTTGTGGTTTTCATGGGTTCTGTGCAAAAACCTAAGCACTCAAAGTGGTATTGATAATGCCATAGGAGAAGTTCACTTCCTTAAAATTGCTAATACTAAATAGCAGCAGCAGCAAAAATCTCTGTTTTTTTCTCACAGTCTCTACTTATTTAGGTGAACATCAGAATTTGTGGGGAGAAGTGTAGGCCTTATCATTATAAATTTTGTCAGTCTTGGTCACCTCTAGCTGAGTTTTAATGTGGAAGAAGGTGAAGAGTGGTAAAGTGGAGGAGTTTTCATCCCATACCTAGAGAAAGTTTGCAGTATCTAGTTGTTAATTTTTCTTTTTGCTTTACTGATCTAGAATACATATGTTCATCAGCACCATTAGGAGTCCATAGTTCCTCTAAGTCCACACAGTGAGCAATCAGTGTTTTAGTGAAGTTCCTCCTGTATGTCTTGATCCAGCAATCCAGCCTTGCTCTTGGTGAAGGCCAACTAACACCAATTGTCAATTCTAACACTGTGAAGAAAAAGCATTACTATTGGAAATGGAGACAATCTATTTAGGTCTTAAGGAAGAAAAATGTGGATGTTAGATATTTTTATTTCTCTCCAGATAGAAGAAGCTATTAACATGTACATTCGCTATATTTTTCATTCCAGCTAAAATAGAGCATTCAATAATCTCCCATATATATATTTCATTAACTTATGTATTGAGGAAAAGTGTTGTGTCATACAATTATTTTCTAATTCTGCCTTATTCATGCTGCTATTGACAAATGTTTTCTTACTATGTGTGTGTTACTTTTGGAATTGGCAAGGATTATTACTAGCCTAACTTAGGATATATGTACTGAAAGAGCATTTCAATTTTCTTATTATAATTTGAATAAATAGAAAGATTCCTTGTAATTAAAGGGATTTTTTTTTATGTCTGTCATTTTGTCAGACCTGTCAAAAGCATTAAAGATGTTAATATATGGAAGTTATCTCTCAGAGGGAAGGGTAGAGGGTTGTTCTTATTTCACATGGGATTTTGTAAACAGTTAAGATTTTGTACAATATCTTTGTTTAGTAATAGACAGAAGTTTTATTTATGAGAGCATAATAAAAAGAACAAAAGAGAACTTGCTTTTCCTAGTAGTAGTATAATGTATAGTAGTGAGTATGATGTGAAGTGTTTTTTAAGTTTTTGGTGACAGGTTTGGACTTCACTCCGGTCAGAAATAAGTAAAATCACTAGTGAAATGGCACATGCTGCATTCATGTTGTGTTAAATACTAGTTTTTTTTTTATGCAATGTAAATGTGAGTAACATATCTGGCAACTCATTGGTAGAGAAATAGCATTAATTCATTGGTTTTAGAAATTGAATTGCGTTTCTCCTTGGGTGGATGAAATGCTAAACTCCTGAAAACTGTGATTAATGAAGAGAAGTAAAGAACCTTTGATTGATAAAGAGAAGTAAAAAACCTTAACAGCTGTAGCTACTGGGGAGTACTGGCTAAGATGTCAGAGTCTTAGTTTGATAATTCATAGATTTTTGGTCATTTCCCTCTCTTTCTACTTCCCCAAATGGGACTCAGTTTTCCTAAGAAATGAAATGGACTTTTACAGTCGAAAGTTCTTGTGAAATTACTCATGAACTGTATTGCAGATTGTCTAATCTATTAACAAATAATATATCTTAAGAATTTAAGTTTAATGAGTATAAAGATGCTTAGCCTTAAGTACACTATTTGCCACCTTTTAATATTCCACAGTGGGATTTCATTAGTATGGTTTATTAAGTATCTGCATTATGAGAAGAGCAACACTTTCCATCTGTTTCTTCTTTCATTTCTATATGGAGTTATTACATTTTTCGTCTGATTCAGGTCTATGTAATAATGTTGAATGTAAGATTAATGAGTCTTGTTCCTTTTTTAAATTTTTTTTCTATTTTAATACAGAACACTTGAAACAAATACAATGAACTGCTGACTGGAGGAAAATTATATTTTAACAATGCAAATTAATGCTGTAATACTTTTTACTGAGAAATTTGTTGGGTTTACAGTAAATTCCTCTTTGTGGTTAGAGGTTTACTGTGAAAGACTGATATTAAAAATTTAGCACTGCAATACAGTTACCACCAATCAAATGTCTATTTGACGGTCTTGAAAACTACTGTCTGTAGGTGTGCAGTGATATACTATCCAAAAATAGTGTTGGAGGGAAAATTCATAGCAGCTGCTGCATTAGGAAACATACTGCAACATACAAACATGTTGCTTGATCACTTATTTATTCTAGGTATTCGCTAGAGAATATGTAATGTCTGTGTCAGCGTTCTGTGTAGTCATTGGGTAGCTTTTTCAATGGCTTGCAATATACTTGCATTTTTGTTTTATTCCATGGCTGGCCTCATTAAGCATTCAGAAAAGCTAGACAGATTCGAGCTTCTTTGTTGTGGTTGTCTGTATGTTTGATGTAATTCCAGTGAAGCTCATACAAGATTACATTAAATAAGTTTTATTTGCATTTAAGCTACAAATTACAACAGAAGATCAATTCCAAATATATATAATTTTAAAATGCAACTCATCATTACAGTCCGAGGACTGTACTATTGGTTCCCTCCTCCAGTATTTTGTCGTTTCATTACACTGAAAAGAGTAGCATTCAAAGGAATTCTGAATTAACATTATTGTCACCTTTTGCTTATTGCCATGTCAGTCTGATCTACCTATTGGATTATTTTTTTTTACTAACACAGACAATAGTTGCTCAATGGCATCCTGTCCACCAGGCATGCCAACTGCACTGCTCACCCTCACCCAAACTTGCAGAGGGTGCAGTCAATCCCACCGTCTATGTCACTGATGAAGATATTAAATACTACTGGTCCTAATACAGACCCATGAGGGACACCGCTTGTCACCAATATCTCCATCTAGACATTGAGCCATTGACCACTACCCTCTGGATGTGATCATCCAGCCAATTCCTCATCCATTGAACAGTCCACCCATCAAATCCATATGTCTCCAGTTTAGAGAGAAGGATATTGTGGGAGACTGTGTCAAGGGCTTTCAGAAGTCCAGATAGATGACATCCATAGCTCTTCCCTTGTCCACTGGTGTAGTCACTCCATCATAGAAGGCCACTAGGTTGGGTAGGCAAGACTTTCCTTGGTGAAGCCATGCTGGCTGTTTCAAATCCCCTCCCTGTCCTCCATATGCCTTAGCATAGCTTAGAGAAGAATCTGTTCCATGATCTTCCCAGGCACAGAGGTGAGGCTGAAGAGTTGGTAGTTCCCAGGGTCCTCCTTTCTACCCTCTTTAAATATGGGGGAAATGTTTCCCTTTTTCCAGTCACCAGGGACTTTACCCGACTGCCATGTGTTTTCAAATATCATGGTGAGTGGCTTGGCAACTACATCAGCCAATCCCCTCAGGACTCTGAGATGCACCTTGTTAGGTCCTATAGACTTATGTTTGTTCGGGTTCCTCAGGTGGTCACCAACCTGATCTTCTTTTACAGTGGGAGCGACTTTGCTCCCTCAGTCCCTGCCTTGCAGTCCATCCACTTGAGAGGTGTAGGAAGACAGGTTGCCAGTGACGTAAAAAATTTGTTAAGTACCTCAGCTGCCTCTTTGTCCATTGTTACCAGTTTGCCAGTTGTGTTCATGAGAGGGGTATTCTCTCTTTGACTTTCCTTTTCTGCCTGACATACCTGTAGAAGCCCTTCTTATTATTCTTTGCATCCCTTGCCAAGTTCAGCTCCAGCTGCACCTTGGCCTTCATGACCCCATCCCTGCACAACCAGGCAGTGTCCCTATACTCTTCCCAGGATACCTGTCCCTGCTTCCAATGCCTGTGCATCTCTTTCTCCCCTTTTACTTTGACCAGCAGGTCCCCACTCATCCATGCCAGTCTCTTGCCTTCCTTTTCCAGTTTCTTACTCCTGGGGATCAAGAGCTCTTGTGCTCTATTGAAAGCATCCTGAAAGATGTGCTCTGGCAACTCCATTCTGTTCCCTTGTCCCTGAGGGCAGTTTCCATTGACTAACTCTGTGAAGAGTTGGAAGTTTGCATCCTGAAAATTCAGATTCACGATTTTACTCTTTACCTGACCCTCAGGACTGTGAACTCCATCAGTGCATGATCACTGCAACTCAGGCTGCCTGCAATCCTGATGTCACTGATTAGCTCACTTGTGCTGGTGACCATCAGGCCTAGTATCACATCCCCTCTGCTAAGGCTTCTGTTACCTGGCTGAAGAAGTTATCCTCAATGCATTCCAGGAGTCTCTGGGGTTGCCTAGAACTCGTCATGCTACTTTTCCAGCAGATGTCAGGGTGGGTGATGTTCCTCAGCAGGATGAGAGCCTGAGAGCACAATGCCTCTGGTAGTTAGAATAAGAAGGCTTTGTAGCTTTGTATGACCCATGACATTGATTATCAGGGTTATGGAACAGTTTTGTGACTCTTCTTGTATCACTGTTTCATTGGGTGAGACATCTCCTGTGTCTGCATATAAAACTGCACCTTTCATGAGGAGAGATATATATGAGAAGTTTCTGCTTATCTGTATATATTACAGAGATTAGGTTTAATCTGTTTTTTTGTCAAACAAACCCTTACTATTTTATAAAAAACTTCTGAGCGTTTAATTTTCATGAATGCTGCATGAGAAAAGGTAAGGAAAAATTAGCCAGAATGCCAACATAGGCACATTTGGTGGCAGACTGATGCAACTCATTTGAAGCAAGTGCCTACACCAGATATAAATGTAACTATTTGTGTCTTGTCTTAAGGTATCAATTTTATCCTCCCTCATGGTAATCTTGCCCTGCTTTCAAGGTCTTCTGAAATCCCAGAGAATCATGAGTGAGAGCAGCTGTTGAAAACAACTCACTCCTTTCAGTCACTGACAAAATGCTAAGATACTGAGTGGAGTTGTTTTTTTCCCTGGATTTTTGTTTTTCCTTCACTAAAGCTATGAAATACTGAATGACTTCAGTCCTTTTGTTCAAACACATTTTGTTGGCCATAACTTGGTGATTGCAGGATTTTATGAAATACTGTGTGGGATATGAAAACACAGCCACTCAGACACACCTCTTCTGCTTTTGCCAGGGATTTGCTATTCCCAAAGACACTGAGTCAAAAAGCTCTATCGCCATCACCCTTAGCTGCCTGTTCTTCAGATGCCAATAAGATACTTTTTTAAAGGAACAAAATTTGCTAATATTTAAAAAAGAAGCTCCAATTTAGATTAGTAAAAACAGCAAGCTGTCAAGATTAAGATACAGGTTGGGGTTATCAGTATAAAAGATGAAAAAATAGTTTGTTTAAGGTATATTTTCTAAATGGCATGGCCAATATTCCTGCCTTAGCAGTAAAGTCTTATTGGTAATGGCAGAAATAAATTTCTATGTTAAGAATACTCAAGTCATGAAGGTGCTGCAGAGGGTGAACTAACTTAATAATCCTGTCAAAAATAAGTTCAGTTCAAACAAGGTGGAGATAGTTGGGACCGAGTTAGTTTATAACTGTTAGCTTATAGCCTCTTCAAAGTGATCTATTTATTTGTTTATTTTTAAATCTCAGTTTTGGACTAATATTGCTAGGACTAGAAGTTAACAGTGTCTTATGTGCATTTGATAGAATATGCTTGTGATCTGTATCTGTTGTAAATTATTTCTGTTATTTATGTAGAATGTTAGTCTTGTACAAAAGAGATGCATGGCATTTGTGGGAGACTGTAGCCCTCCGTATTTAATGTCAGTTGATTTTTGCTTCTGTTCATGTAATAATGTGCCACCAATCAGTGTTCATCAATGCATGGTAAATTTCAGTTTCAAAAAAATCACCCTTGTGTTTAAAAATAATTTTAAAAGTTAGATGTTGAAAACTTTCCCAACTTGCTTTTCTTTGCCACCAATCCAGATAGATATGAACTATTAATTAACTCTAATTAAACAGCTGTAAAAATCACCAAAAAAACCTTCCATAAGACAAGTTATCTTCTTCCTGAAATAAATTAGTGTCTTAATGTCTCAGATATTAATGTAAAAATATTTGATTAAACTGGCATTCATTGACTTCTTGACAGTCTCACAGTCTGAGATTTTGGCAGATGCAGAATTGCCTTGATTCTTAAGACCACTGTCAGAATGTATTGGTGGAACATTGAGAAGAATTTTGTGTGAATAAGCAGAGTTTTCTGTTCCCTGAGACTGCAGCCAAAACCTAAGTTAACTTCCTTTTTAAAAGGCAGTTTCAGAAGGCCAAAAGCACATGGAACTTTAGCTTTCCCAAGCCATAGCTACACTGTGAAGGAGAGGATTAATACTGACAGTTTTTCTTATAATTTTGGTTGGTTTTGCTGTATCTAAGGGTAAGAAAGCAAATAAACCTTGATGATTTTTTTAGAGTTCTGTAATAATAATAATAATGCAGAATAGCAAGGAAAAAAACTTTTCTATGTGTCTCCATTTCCAGTAAAAGTAAAAATTTTCATAATATAAGCATCTCCACTGCATGTGATAGAGGTATTGTAATATTCTGCTGCCCTCTAGCTAACTATATGAGTTATCTGTCACAACTTGTGATGGTCTGAAATGACTTAGGATTCTTGTTTTTGTACATCCATGCTGCTGCTGAGCTGTTATTTGACAGTTATTTTTAGATTCAGAATTCACCTGTGAGCAAAATGGTAATTTCATTTCCAAAGTGAAATCACAGCATGCATCTGCTCACATAGTCTGTGGTCTAAAGAACTTTTAAAACAAAATTAGGCAACCTGTTCTTAGAAATCAATACAAGCACTTGTCAGTAAGAGAAGCAGCAATGTTATTTGCCTAAATTGATAGCATGCTAGTGTACGATGATTTTTTTTTGTTTAGTAGTTTTATTATCATATTAGCAGGCAGTTTATACTGGCAGGTTATGGCTGAAAATCATTAATTGCATCACTCATTCAAGCTTTAATGCTAATTCTTCACACAGATGTTATATTTATTAGGTTAGCTATAAGAAAAGAAGGTGCTATAATTCCACTGGAGAGTGTTGAGAAGGTATTTAATGGCTAGCATTTCACTTCACTTAAGGAAGCCAAATAATTCAAATATTTGATGTAGGACCATAAAATTATTAGGACTTTATGAAGTCTAATTCCAAGATTGTCTAATTCTAATTCTGTTCTATAAGTTGTTCTGCATTGGGTTTTTTACCATCTGCTTTAGCTTATTCACATTTCAGTGAATTAGCTAATAACATTAGTTTGTCTTTCTCTGGTTAGAATGAATCATGTTTCATTACTGTTACCTAATGCCCAATCTGTTTTGAAAAAGGTTTGCTGAAGTAATTAGGCACGTCTATTGATGTTACAATTATACTACTGCAAGTGGATCTGTGAGGGAGTGTTTTCTATTACTTGCTGGATTTTGTGTACTGTTTCTGGTATCTCTGGACATCACCTACTGTGCTGTTGCAAAAGAGGCTTCACTTTACAGGATCTCCCAGCAGACACCTCAGATTAGTGTGAAATAATTGCTTCTTTGTAAGTTTGTGCCAGAAGACCCCAATTTCTACTTATTATTTAAGCATAAGAGGTTTAGGTAGTTCCCCGTATGATGGAGTGCAGTACAGCTAAATAAGATGTGCATCTATGTGTAGATATATAGAGGTTTTGAAAAGGTTGTCTTGTCCTTAATAACTTACTGAATTTGAACATAAAATTTATGTCCATTTCTTCTGTTCATTAACCACTTTTCTCCTAGGTTCATTATGCACATAGAAATGTGTAAATCTGCAGTATCCTGGCTCTAATTTGAAACTGTTTATGTGAATATACTGCTATACTTCATTTATGCTTAGAAATTACTCAGCACAAACTTCTCAGCTTTTGAGTTTATTCATCATTTGTTGACTATGTAGTTCACTCAAGAAAATTATTTTTTTAAATTTGGAGAATTATGAAGATTCTTTCTTTGTACTCTTCTGTATTCAACTAAAATATCCACCATTTCCTCATCGATTTTATTTTTCTTGTAGATATTGATTACAGTTATAGCTTACAGGACGACAGTACTTGTGCTGTCACTTGCTGATTCCACACAATGCATTTTTGTGAGTTCACTCCAGTGAGCTCCAAACATTAGAAATTTTGACATAACAAGGACAAGTATGTTACCTTTATATTTTATTCTCATCAACAGACCGAGGTAGTTGATTTACATTAGAGGGGGAGGGGGATTAGTACTAATTTAAGATCTCAGATAGAAATTCTGCTACTCAAAGGAGTCAACACTTTATCTGTGCTTTTGTTTTTCCTCCAGCTGTTGGTGAAAAGCAACAACCTTTCTGACAAGATCACAGTTCTGTCTGGAAAAGTTGAGGAGATCTCCCTGCCTGAGAGCGTTGATGTGGTAATTTCTGAACCTATTGGTTATATGCTGTTCAACGAAAGGATGTTGGAAAGTTACCTCCATTCCAAAAAATGGTTGAAGTCAAATGGTGAGTGTGTCCCCACAGCTACCTCCCCTGCATAGAGAAAGGAAGACAAAAAACTTCTGAAAGAAGGAAAAAAATAATCTTTAATTGGTAGTACAGGACTGTCTAGTTTTATACCCTTGTTCTATCCCTACCACCCAGATCCAGGAGGCCCAGGGGAATTAATGTAATGAGGTAGCCTCCATTGCTATTGTACTATGCTCTAACTTCTTGCTGTTTCACAGTGAAAATAGCTTTTGAGTATGCTGCTGTTGCATTGCTGGATTTTGCTTGTGTTTTAATCTCAACCTGCTGCTATATGCACTATGATGGCATCTCTGTTGCAACGTATCACAATAGATGATGGCACACTAACCTCAGCTGCCAGACAGTGGAATGTAGATGAGAGCAGAATGGTCCATTGGGTTTCTCCGAAATACCTTGTTTTAATACTTGGATGTTGCCTTTTGAATGACATGTAAGAGATCCATAGCATTCAGTGCTCTTTTTCATCCCTCCTGCGTTTAGAGGAGTTTTGAAGAGAATCAATCTGTAGGTTCCAAGACTTCATCAAAATCTTCTTTGAGAGACAAATCTGAGCATCCAGTTGCTGAATGAAACATCTTTCTACATGAACTGCTGAAAATGAAGTCTCTCTTTATAAGATTTCTTTAGAAGAGACCTTTCTCAGGTAGAATTTCTGCAGCAGGGAAGTTTTTGAAGCATGGGTTGAGTCTGTACCTTGATACAGAGAGCTAGTGACTTTGCTGTTGAGTTGTTTCAAACTTGCAAAGCCCTTTTGGGTACAATTTTTCAGCTCAGCCACTGATTTTAACTCTCCCGTTTAGATTCTTAGGGAGCAGTTTCAGAGGAGGGCTTCTGAAAACTAATCAGTAGGCAGGTCATTTTAAGTTTTAAATAAGTGAAAGCTTTTAAAGATATGTGCCTAACTTTCTGAGTTCTCACTTGTACAGTGGGCATGAATCACCTTATAGTAGTCATTATTAAACTTAATGATTGTCTGAGGAGTTAGCTGAAATTAGAATCACAGAGTCATAGAATGTGTTGGGTTGGATGGGACCTTTAAAGGTCATCTAATCCAGGCCCCCTGGAGTAAGCAGGGACATCTTCAACTAGATCAGTTTGCTCAGAGCCTCATCAAGCCTGACCTTGAATGTCTCCAGGGATGGGGCCTCCATCATCAGTAAGTTGCTACTATTTAGTACCAGTTAGGTTTGGAAAATTTTCTGTCTGAAATTCTCTGCAAACTTGTTAATATTCTCCCCACAGCCAGTTTAAAAAATCGTATCTATTTTGTGAGTGGGTGTTCTTTATTTAAATTCCTGTAGACTCTGCCTACATGATATACTTACAAAAGGACAGCTGTTTCCTTTTCCCTCCCCTCCCCTACCTGTCCTCCCCTTCAATTTTGTGTTGTGTTTTATACCAGATTAAAAAAGGGTAAAGAAGTATGCTCAAGTGTAGTTCAAAATGACCAAGATTTATTTCCTGCTTCCATTGACACATGCACAATAGAATAAAAGGACTTTCATTTAATCTGCTAAGCACCATCCACAGAAGATAATATGAGGTAATTCCTCCGTTTTCCAGAGCCATCAGAGTGCAAGATCCTAATGAAAATGCATTCTTGCAAACTAGTAGATCAGGATTTCATTACCTGATCTGTGACTGATTTGCTGCTTCACGCAAATAAAATTCTGTTTCTCAACTTCAGCATCTGTAAAAAAAATTAAAAAGGTATAATATACATTTTTGTGTTTGTAAAATTCTCAGTATTTACTCTGAATCGCTATGAGTTTCCTGGATAAAAGTGTTAAGAGTGAAGTGCATGTAACTACTTGATTCATTAACAGCAATTCTTCCAAATTTAAATTTGACCAAACCATACCCAGAAGTTTAATTCAAGATCAAGCCTGAGCTTTAATGCAAATCCTTCACACAGATGTTATATTTATTAGATTAGCTATAAGAAAAGAAGGTGCTATAATTCCACTGGAGAGTTTTGAGAAGGTATTTAATAGCTAGCATTTAGCTTCATTTAAGGAAGCCAAATAATTCAAATATTTGATGTAGGACCATAAAATTATTAGGACTTTATGAAATATTCTGGTCTGTTCTATAAGTTGTTCTGGGTTGGGTTTTTTACTAACTGCTTTAGCTTATTCACGTTTCAGTTATCCATATGTTAATGAAACTAAATGTTAAGGTATCGAAAGTATGTGACAGTTGCTGCTTCTGAGCTATTGGTTTCTTGCTAGTGAAGATAATCCTCTAGAGACATCTGTGGGACAAAAGAATCAGAATATCCTAAGTTGAAAGGGACTCAGGTGAATCATCGACTCCATACACCATACACGGCATGTATTTATACCATGTATTTAAGAGCATTATCCAAATACTTCTTGAACAATTCCCTTTCTACTTTATATTGTCTTTTATTTACTAGGAATGATGTTTCCAACATACAGTGACATTCATTTGGCTCCTTTTTCTGATGAGCAGCTGTACATGGAACACTACTCCAGAGCCAATTTTTGGTAATGATTGTTTATGTCATTTTATTTTTACCAAAGATTCAGTAGAGGTAAAAAATTAAATCAGTTCTTTGATTCAGCATAAACTATCTGTCAACATTGAAGGAGAATACTTTTATGTTCTCCATGATCACTTCTGCTCTGGCCTACAGTCATACTGTTTATTGTGCAAGTCTGAAGGATCTCTCAGGAAGTGCTAGAGCTGACTAGGTCTCTTTTTGAAAGAGAAGTTGACTCCACAGAGCATCCATTGTGAGAAAAATAGTTGACTGGGAATCAGGTATAAGTGTTTGCATTGCTACACCAAAGTGTAGTATGCTGCAGATGGTGATCATTGTATCGCGTGAAGCTCCAGGTACCTGAGCGTATTCCTGGGCAGTCTTCACAAACAGTAAGTATTAGTTCCCATGACCTGAACAATCTCCAATTTGGCAATTACTTTCTGTCCACCTGGATTTTTTGTGCAGCTTTAACTAGAGGTTGTACTGCTTTTGCCTTGGAGTGTCCCACTGCTACTATCCACTGTTGAGCCGTTGCTGTGCTCTATATAGAAGGAAATATTTACAGCAATATTCTAATGAGGAGAAATTGAGATGATTCCAAAAAAAGATAAGAGAACTTCATCTCTTCTAGCTGGCATGATTTGATTCCAGTGATTCTACATGCATACATTTAATCAGCTGAACTACCTGTCAACCACTGCAAGGCTTTCAGAGAACTGCATAAAGGGAAAAATCAGATTTTTCAAGTCTGCTTTAGTAACTAATTTCTATTTGTGTCAAGAGTGTTTTTGTCATTGACATTATTATCACAGACTGCAGTAATACTTTGTAATTATGATAGTGGTCGGGTTGGTATCTAAGTTGCAGCATACTGCAGTCTTTCCTCCACCCATCTTTGCAAAAGGACATACCCCATTTTTGAAAGATCTTTTTATTACCTAATTATCTACATTCTCATGAATTTTTTTTTAGGAGAATGTTTCAACCAAACTAAGCACAGAAATGTCACACATTTACCTTGATTATACTCCTTGTATATCAGGTTCTATTTGATACATTCCTAGACAAAATAGTTTGTGTGCTTACAATACAATTTATTGCTGTCTTGAGACATCCCCTGAGCAGAAGGCTATAGTATCAGTCCTCCTACCCGTCCACATAGTTGTAGTTTTGTATGGATGTATGCCCAGGACATTGATTGTGTAAGAGGATTAAATACCCTTGTGGTTACTGAGTGCTCTAAAAACCAAAAAATTAATGCTTCTAATGTCTTCAGCCAAATGTGGGATCAAAATGTTCTGAGTGAGAGTGCAGTAGTTCTGCTTCTGCACCACTCTAGGACATGCATGTTCTTATTATTAAAAAGTCTGCATATCCTGATAGATCCAGAGCTATAAAAGTCCTTTTTCAGACAAAGCGCTTTCTCAGGGCTTTCTTGGATGTTTGAAGTAAGCCATCAGGAACTCATTGGTGACAGCCTGTGATTTGCTAAGCTTCAAATTCCAGGCCTCAAGAAACAGCTTTCATTCATCGTCCAGCTTTGCTACTCGGAACAGAAGATGTGTTTTGTGTGTAATAGATCTTTTCCTATTTAGCTAAATCTATATCCTAGGTCTTAGAGATTGGATATGGTTTTGTATCCAGTTAGTATCCAGATAGTACTTGAGCAAAAGACTGAAATAAATATCTCGATTTGCTATTTCATCTGGTAAAGGCAAAGGGACTTTAAAAACCCTCCGAAATCCTGTGCAAAAAATCATGCTGTGTGTTCTAACATCAGATGCAGCAGTTAGCATAGCCTGTTTACTGTACAACAGAAAGGCTGCATGTTTCACACATGCTTAAAATCATTGTCTTGGGTCTTTTCAGTTATAATAATTATGATACTGTGTAAGTATGTTTTGTTTCTCTTCAGGCCTGTAGATTGGCTTACTGTTTTGCTCCAGAGTTGCATATTAATTTGCATTTACTAGTAATCGTTGCTAAAAGTGTGCCAATGTACAGTCTATCACAGAAGAGTAGACTGCTCTCTTTGTTGGTGAAAACCTTGCAAAGATAGAAAGATACAAAGCATAAATATACAGCAAGCAGTTAAAAATAGTGTGCATTTTTTCTGTGTTTCTCATCAGTGATAAATAAGGAACTCAGTTATACAGTACAGCAAACATATGGAAAAGGGTAAAAGATCACTTGCAGTTAAGATGTCTGCTGATTTCCTCTGTTGTGTTTATTTGAGTTCTTTCCTTAAAGATATCTTCTCATATATCTTCTCAGATATCTTTAAGGCATACAGTCATCTGGGCATCTTCCCTTTATGCAATTAGCACAGAACTAGTAATGGAGAATTAATGAGTTGTATGATGCTGTAACAATAAGGACAAACATTTAAAGATTCCCTTTTTAAGTGCTTCTGAAGACATGGAAGGCTTGACCATGGTTTTGTATCTAGATGACACTTCACAAGGAGCTGACCTTCCTTGCTGTTTCCCCTTTCTACCCCCTTTTTGTTTGTAGTATCTGGAAGTAAAGATACCTGTTCAACTTTTCAGTGACTTGATAAGAGGGTTATATGCAAGAGGAAGATTACTGCAAGCATGTATGTTTTCATTTCAAATTTCATACTGGAAATAGTCTGAATATACATTAAATGCAAATTTGCATAAATTGGTAAGATAAAAGTGCTAAATTTTTTTCCCTGTTCAGTTGATATAGGATGACCTTTATTTTCCTCTTTAATGTCAAGAAAAAGGAACAGACCTGTAATACAGGTGTCCTCGTCACTATTTTGATTTATACAAGGTCCACCCCTAATTCTGGAATAACTCAAGATTACAAACATAGCTTAAGAGTGTCTCAGCCCTTCTCCCTATTCTCTGCTTGCTGTGTGTATTCTTTCAGAAGCATAGTATGAAATGTCTCTGTATGTCTATTTGAGGGGATCGTGTCACCCCAGAGCTGTGAGGAAAGGTAAACTAAGCTAAGGAGGGCTGAAATTTGGCCTCTTGGCAGACAGGAGAAAGGGAAAGAGGACCCATATTTCACCTGCTATTTACAGTTACTGTGCCTTGGTCTGGTTGGAACTCAGAAAAAAAAAGCATTTTTCTCCTGAACATGTTATGTGTTACTGTTTCTAGGTACCAAGAATGCTTTTATGGGGTTGACCTGTCCAGTCTGCGCAGTGCAGCTGTGGATGAGTATTTCCGACAACCTATTGTGGTAGGTTTGTATGTCTGGGGGTTATTTTTTGTGGTTTTCCCCCTCCCTATCTCATCCCTTCCACAAAATCCTAGAGGTACAGTAGTCTCCTTGTTTACTGGAGCTCTGTGGCTGTTGAGTAGAGAGCCAGAAAATAACTGCAAGTGTGAACAGAGCTGCTGTCAAAGGTTAACTACCATATGTAATATGTAATATTTGCTATGAATAACAGATGTCTAGAGATATGCACACATTAGGAAGCCACAGCACGTGAAAAAATCTCTTCCTAATATGCAACTAACTTCCCTCAGTCTTTCCAGTCTCGTAAAAAAATGACTTGACCTTGATTTTTCCCTTTCTATCTCTGATTTACAAATTAAAGGAAAAGACAAAGCAGCCAGGCGAACAGATTTCTGTATTATGAAACAACCTTTTTTTAATATGTAAATATCCTTATTTTATTGGTAACTTGGATCTAGCACCTGCCATTCTTCTTTCTTTTTACTAAAGTCTAGGCGTTACCGATTTGGAAAGAATGCAGGAAAAATCCTTCTCACCTCTCTGGGAAAGAACCTAAACAATCCCCACCTGTCACCTCCTGCCCCAGTATAATGCTGCTGTGTAGGTGCAATGAAAAGCTTCACTCTCAGAAATTTGACTTCAACAAACGTTGACTAACTTTTGGCTAACTGCTTTAAGTAGCGATAGCAGCATAGCTGCTGTCACATGGAGACTCTAAAAACTCTAAAACCTATCCAGAAATCTGGAAGGACCATCAGATTACTGATAGAACCTTCTGCACTCCACTGCTGTTAGTACTTGAAATGGAGATGAGAAAACTCTCATTTGTCTTCATAAATTTCAGCTGTGTCTTTGTCTGTAGCAGGGTCATTCTCAGCACTGACTCTTTGGCTTTCAGTTAGAGAAGGGAGAAATCTGTAGAACTGTGGTATTTACTTGCATCCTGTCTGATGTACATGTTTTGCTTTGATTTCTTGGCTGAGATTCTTCCTCCCTTGGAGATCAGAAATGCATTGCCCAATAAAAGCCACATTAAATTGTTATTTCTTTTTAAAAATCACGTATCTCTGTGTGTTCCCCTTACTCTGTAGACAGATTTTAGTTCTTAGATGGGTTCAGTGGGGGGTTGTGATACAAGCCTTTATGTTAAGAATTTGCTTTACTTCTGGAAGAGCTTGTGAGCAGGGATAGATTAAGATTAGTACCTGTGATTAAAAAAAAAGAAAAATGAAGGGAAAAGTTTTCATTTGCTGACTGACTACTTGTAACTTTATTCTAGACATAAATCTGTATTAAGTAATTTTGCTTTCTATACTTCATAATTTAATTTTCAAGTATTTCCATACTGTCTTAATTCAGCTTACCTAACTGTGCAATGCAGAAGAGCACATTAAAATGTGTGTGGTTTAAAAAAAACCAAACCAACCCCAAGTGATCAATTTACAAGTGATCAATTTCTAGACAAATTTTCTTCTTTCTAGGTTGAATATAGATATCTTTGATAGGCATGTAAGCAGTCAAATATATTAAATCCTGATAATATTGCAAAATCTAACAATGTTCTAAGGGATACTAAGAAAATGAAACATTGAAAACAAATTTATAGGGGTGAAGGTTGATTTTTGTCTTATTCCCCATTCTTTTTAACAGAAAACAAGTTTATACATTGACAAGACAGAGTGGTAACAATTGCAACTCTTTTTTATTTTTTTTTCACCCCCATAGGATACTTTTGATGTGAGAATTCTGATGGCACAGGCAGTGAAGTACACTGTCAACTTCGTGGAAGCTGTTGAGGAAGATTTGCATAGGTCAGCAGACACCAGCAACCTACTCTTCATCTTTCATTTTTGTCACTGGCTATTGATCAATGGTGCTCAGAGGGAGCTTTGGTGGTGGCTGTGGAGGAGGGAAGGGGTCGGGGCAAAACGATTAGTCCACCACTCCTAATGGACCGGAATGTCCATCTGCATGATGATTTGCCTAGCATCAGCAGAGAAGCCCATTTGTGTGTCCGTGAAACACCAGAGATCAGTTCACAAAATTTTCATACTGAAAGGGATAAAACAGGGCCTAGAGGACAGTGTTTACTTCTTAGCATTATATCTTGAGACACATAATTTAATTCAGTTACAAGGCAATTTTTGTTTTTCTGTTCAGACATCCTAAAAAACCTTGTCAAATGATGCCATCACAAGCTGCCTTGCTGAACTCTTGTGTACCTCTTTTTTTTAAACATTTTCTAGTCTAACAGGAATCATTTGTACCTCTTTACTTCCCTCCAGAACTCCTTCAAATCTTTAGATGGAAAGTCTTATATATAAAACAACCTGCATCCTTCATGTCTTAGAATGACAGTAGAGAAGCCTCGTGCTCAGCACATCTGTGAAATAAAATGTACCATATGTGAGAACTTGAGGGAGTACCTCAAGTCCTTGCAAGACACTGTCACAAGGGGAAAATATCACAGACTGTCTTTGAAGCTCTGAACCCTTGTTGTTTCGACGTGACTCAACTAATTGCATAAATGACATGGTCTAGTGGGAGAGAAGAATTGCTGTTAGAGGGGGGAAGCAGCTGTAGAATTGCTTTCCAGTTTCAGGTGGCTACGGCTGGCTTCCTGTAGTGGTTCTCAGAACTAATATGTTCATATCGCAATGCTAGTTTCATGATATATTTCTGCAAGAGTGGGTGAGATTTGGATTCAGCTACACAGCCAGTAGTAGTTCTTTTGGAAGGGAACATATTCAAGCTCATGGTCAAGCAGGTCAATTTTTCCTTCTTGTTCCAGAAGTAGTTCTATTTGTCAAATTTGTAGTGGAACATTTTCCTGCTAAAAATAGTATTTATACTAAACCCAAGTCCTTCAATAGCAACAGGAAATTTTCCACTCAAAAGACTGAACCCCTGTACTTATAGCAGTCTGCAATATTGCCACAAATGATGCTGTAACACTTGTGTAGTGGCATATTTGGTTCCACTATCTAACAAAAAAATACAAAAAACTAACACCTAGACCCATGCCATTCGTTAATTCTATTGACACAGAAAAAAAGAGCATATCCTTTTAAATATATGGCAAATTGTGACATAAACTGATGAATAAGAATGGAAAATCATAAATTAGTATAAGGTAGGCTTCTGGTGGAATTTCCAGTACTTTTTGGAAGTTATTTTTGGCAGCATATTATTTTTTCTCCTGCAGAGTGGAAATCCCCTTTGTTTTCCAAATGATGCAGTCAGGGCTAATCCATGGCCTGGCTTTCTGGTTTGATGTGGCATTTGTAGGATCACTGTAAGTACTTTTTCCTTCTTCCTGTGAAATGCTAACTACAGGGGGAAAAATCACATCTTTCGTACAAAATGTGCCAGTACTAGACCTTTATCTGGTGCTGACCTAGTTTGTAATGTGATTCTTTTGTGTTAAAGAAATAATGCTCTTCCAGAGGTAACAAGAAGTATGATAACCTAGCGCTAGCACTATGACTAGATGGTGGTGATCTTGCTTCCCATTGACTGGGGTGCACATTATCTACAGTCGACCACTTCCAGGAATTCCTGAGGATCAAAATGCACTGTTCCACACAATGCTGCTTTTTTTTTTTTTTTTTTTTTTTTTTTTTCATTATTAGAGGCCTTTCTGTTTTACATTTTAAGTAAAGCAGCAGCATTTGAACATAAGCTGGATTTTCCCACTTGGGCTGGTCTTGTTTGTGGGCAAAAAAAAAGAAAGCAGGCAACAAGTTCCAGCTGACAAAATAGAAATGGAAAAAAATTTCACCAAGCTTGGGGAAATTTTTCACTGCGGCACCAGGCATTTATTTCAAAATGGGGACAGTCATCTGGTAAATAGTAAATAGATGAAAATTAGATGAACTTGCTCAGGTAGTCAAAACATAGATTTAAGCTATCTGTATTTAGCTCTTAGATAAGATTTGTTGATTTCTCAGTTAAACTGATCTAGTTTTAGATCAGTTAGATTAGGTTTAGATTAGGTGATTTTTTTTTTCAATAAATTGTAAAATGCACTTCTATTTATTTGTGTTGATAAATGCCTTTTATTAGATTTTGAAATGAGGATTGTCAAGAATTCTGAATAGTATACCCATTAAAAGAAAAAGGACCTATGTGCATTTCTATTTAATAGCTGATAGGAAAAGGAATTTAAAAAAGGAAGCACATATTCCATATCAGTTAAAACGGTACAGAAAATTTCAGACTTGCAGGAACTGACTGAAATCCTCTGCTGGGAAGGCCTCTATTTTGGAGTAGGCAACTGCTTAATCAGCAGCTCTTTCATGTTTCTACAACTCTGGAAGTTCTTTGCCTTAAAACTTGAAACCTCAGTGGATTGGATTTGTGTTATTACTTGTGTCATCCCTTTGCACCCACAGCCCCTTTCAATATATTACTGAAATATCTCTTGCAAGTGAAAACTAGGTATAGAACCATCTTGGGGAGTGTTGTTTAAGGATGAAACTACCATTGTGAAGAATCACATTGCCACATTCAGGACAAAACTTCATTTCTTGTAATTTATTGAAATTGTCTCGGTAGTAAGAGAAGAGGGAAATTTGTATTCTGTATCCTGGCAGTGTGGAAAGAAGAGAAAAGAGGAGTCTCAAGAGTCTCTTTTTTCAATCTCCATAATTGGCTTAAGCACAGAGATCTGGTGGTGACAGGCACAGTATAGACGAAGGAAGAAAATGAGGTATAACTTCCTGATGTCCCCATATAGGGTAATATCACTCTGCTGGTTTACTTGAAGGCAGTTTAAAGATTATTATAAGCAGTTGACACCTCACATACATAAAGGTCTAACTACTTAAAATTGTTTCCAAAAGGAGAAAACAGGCGAGAAGGTCTAGATAGTTTTTCTTGTTTGTTTTAGGGTAACTGTTTGGTTGTCCACTGCACCGACAGAGCCCCTCACTCACTGGTATCAAGTACGCTGCCTTCTCCAGACACCCCTCTTTGCTAAAGAGGGGGAAACTCTCTCAGGGAAAGTCTTACTTGTTGCCAATAAGCGGTAAGTGTAAAAGCTTCCCAAGTAGATTTTGTAGTTTGGTTCTTGTTAAAGGTACCCAGAAGACACCAGTTAATTTTGGGTATGCTTGTGCACACATTTGTTATTTCTGGTACCATTACCAATGTATACGGTATCACCGATACAGTTATGTAGTCTCACAAGGTCAACATGGTGAGACTCTGCTCACCAAAAGGTCTCCATGTTTCACTCCAGTTACCTGTGATGTTCCTTCTCACCTTCTCCTTAACCACCTGTCACATCCTGCCTTCCCTCAACCTAGCGCTACTTGCAGGTTTTGTCAGTTTCCAACTCTGCTATCTTTCACACACAGCAGTTTTCTCAGGTCACGGCCAGTTAATTTTCCACACCTTGTTCTGGTAGTGTGACCTCTGGCCATGTCTTTGTCAGCAGCCTAGTTGTTTGCCTGAAGACTCAATATCTCTTGTCTCTCACCAAGTCCTGTGCAGAGACAAGGAGAAGTGGGGTTGATCCCAAATCCATTATGTTTTTAATTCTGGATAAAAAATCCACATGGACATACTTCCCTGTTTAAGAACAGTGCTCTTCATGTGTTATTTGTCCTTTCACTGAGGCTAGTGATGATGGTGCTTTTGGAAGGGCCTATTTCCTCACCAGACTTCTCTGCTGTTCCTGTTGTCAGTCTGATGTTTGGTAACTCCACTGCAATGCTTGGCTTTGAAAACAATCCTCCAGTGATGGGGTCACATGAGGTGCAGCCTGGTTTGCTTACACCTATGTGTAGTTTTAACAGAAAACAAAGCCTCCTTGATGCAGGAAGGTGAATCTTTTTATTGTTTGTTTGTTTCTTTGCTGACAAATAAGGTGATCCAGTGACATCAAAGCTGTCAGTAATACTTCCAGAGCTCTTTAATTACATCAGCAATAAATACTTGATGTGGAACTTGTCAAATTTCTGCTTAGAAACTCCTCATGGAGAAAATAAGTAGTAACAAATCTTGATATGTCTCTTTCAAAAGCAAAATGTATTCGTATTTTAATATAAAAAGGAAACACTGTAGGCCACGAAGTGTTCACACAGCCACTGCTGTAAATATGTCAATACCTATGGCATATCTACAATGGAGTGTGGCTCAGAGATGCCCGGACAGCTGACTTCGCCAGACTGAGAATGAGAAGGACTTTAACCATGTGTTAGCACCGGGCTAACAAGTCCTGCCACAAAGCTGACCTGGTTTCAGGACACATGTGGCACTTCTGTGTAACCCTGCAGTTGCTGTTCCGTGCAGGAGGAGCAGCTTTGGTCAGCTTCGGCGTTTTGGTGTGCCCGTGGCTGGTCCTCCTTACTTTTCTGGGCAAGCTCAGTTTCTTGCAAAAAGTCCTGCGAAAAAAATCCTCCCTGGTGAAATCCAGGATTATGAGAAGAGTGAACATAATGCTGTTTGGCAAGATAGATATTTTTGATCATGAAAAAATCCTCTGATTGTACTTGCTAATGCTGAAATTTATAGTATTTCTGACAGGGGGGGGGAAAGACCTTTCACTATTGAATACTACCAGTGCAAAATTATGTTATTCAGATGTTAAAATCACTTCAGTGCCTTTTAAACTTTACTTCTTTAGAGATGATTAAGTAATCACGTCTTTCCACTGATACCACAGCAAATAAGTTTCCATTGTGTTATACTAAGGGGTATTTTTTTCGCTCAAGCCGTTATAGGTGTTTTAGTTCCATTACCTCTTTTTTATACTTCTCTTTCTGATGCAGGCAAAGTTATGATATTCAGATTGTGGCTATGGTGGACCAGACAGGATTGAAATCTGGTAACATTCTTGATTTAAAGAATCCATTTTTTAGGTAAGAAATACTTTTGACTAAAATATCACCATTGTAGAGTGGTACCATCTTGTATGACAGGAAGCAAAGCACACCTATTGGGGAAGAACAAGTTTCTGACCTCTTACAGTTTATTTTAGTTCTACAAGTACAGGGGCACCACTGTTTTGTTTTAAGGGTAGTCATTTGTGTAAGAATACTTGCATATTCTACCTAGGCTGTGTGACAAAGGAAAAGAAAAAAGCTTTATTTAAGGTCTGCAATGATTTAGTGCTATGACAAAATAGTAGGCATTTACTGATTTGAGTGAATGTATACTTAAAATCTTTCGCTGTTTCCTGGGGAGTGATGTGTATCATTGTGACTTGAGGAATCAGGAATATGCCAAGACGCACTCAGCTAAGTACATAAATTGATAATACTATTTGACATGAAGGACCTGTCCTCTCTGTATTATACACGAGGGGAGGAAAAAAAATCTACCTGCTCCAATCCTTCCCATCCGAGCAAGGACTTTTGTTATGTGTTGCTATGGCACCTTATTTTGGGAAAAGCTGTAATTTACAGACCAAAACAAGCGGGAGGAAGGAGCCTGAAGTCTTCCAAAGGAAAAAAGATTTTTGAGAAAAACAGTCTGGCTGTGTTCTGTTCTCATTCTTGTGCTGTATTTGGCATAAAAATCAGCAAATACAGCTGGTGGAATTGATTTTTTCCAGAAGCACACATGGAAAATGCTTCCCTCCTTCATTATGTGTTTTCCATTTTTTATTTTTTGACTCAGACCTATATGACAATTCCACAGTAAACCTGTAAAACAAAATATTCATTGTGTCTGATGAAAATTAATTTTAATCTGTAAAGTTAATTTTTATCTGTACATCAAATGTGTAGCACATTCTGCATTCAGAGTGGGACCCTTTTGATTAAATTTGTAAAAATGTCATTTTCGTAAAGGCTATTTGTGGAAGACTTGCAATGACTATAAATAAAATCACGCACTGGAAAAGATTAATTTTCTCAGACTTGACTGTGACATGGGCAGTGTCTACCTTGCGCATGTTTTTGGTTTGGCTAATACTGGTTTCAAATCTAAAAGATTTTTGTGAGGATTATTACGAATAAGTTTACTGGTCTTCTAATATCTCCATACTTAGCACCCACTGTGTGTGAGTGACTTTTCAAAGATGATAGAATCTATTTGTTTAGAAGTAAAAGAAGCTTTTGTTAAGAGGTTTTAACTTACATAAAATGTAGAAATCGCTTTCAGGATACTATCACTCATACCAAAGAAAACGGGGGAAAATGGTCAAGTTCTGTGTTACGTATAGAAGGACGTTAAGTTATATGGAACGGTATTCTAGTTTGAAAATTGAATGTAAAAATGTTACCGTGTGATTTCATGGTTGCTAGCTAATTAACCATACCGAGTTCAATAATTTAGATTGCTCTTCTTTCATACATTTATTCTTATAGTGCTTGGTTGTGGAATCCTGCCACAACACACTAACCTAATTTAACAAGCTTCCTCTGTGAGCCTCCATTAGTGGTTTTTTTTGTTTATTGATCCTTCTCCATTCTGTCCCTGCCCTCCCGTAGCAATTACCAGAGCTTTGAAAGAGTTAAAAAAACAAAGGCAAGGAAGACTTCCCAAAAGAAAAAATGCTTATTTAGAAACATGAGGAAACTTTCAAAGTCTTCATAAGGTTTTTAAAAAGAATAAGAACATATAATCCAGGTTTTAAACTGGGACATGCAAATTACTGTGCATGGTGGGACCTGATACCAACCCATCCAGACTAGCTGTCTTCTCCTCACTGCTTCATAGTGTCCCTGAGACAAATACTCTTCTCCATACCACAGGGATAGATAGTAGGGAAGAGGCAATTCTGGACATTTTTTGCTCATTTAAAACAACTCCATAATAATTCTATAGCATAAGGTAAAAATAAAGACTGGACTGGGAAGCTTTTAATTTCTGTGAAGGCAACGGCCTGAGCTGCTGTACATAAAACCAAAAGAAAGCCTCTGCCTTTGTAAAATAACCTACAGTGGACTAGGTAGCATTTTACACTTGCTTGCACAGCTGCAAATCTAGATAAAACCACTTAAAATTTAAATTTGAAATCACTCTGCATGTAATAAATCAGTAACAGCATAGGGGACTATTTTCTAGCTTTATTCCAGTGAGACTTATCTGTCATATATTGGCTAAGTGTTGTGCTTAAAAAACTTTCAATTTCATAAAAGTTCTTATTAAATATCAAAAATCTTGAAAAAGTTTTTACTCCAGAGTAAAAGAAAAGCTATATTAGAATCTATTAAATTTGCTCAGTTCAGCTAGTGCTGTAAGCTCTCAAAGAATTGTATATTTTAACTATTTTTTCTTTCATCCATTTTTAGGTATGCCTAGAATGTATTGTAATATGGCATCTGAAAACAGAAGTCAGATTCTCACCAAGCTGAGTAACCAGTGAGACTTCAGTTCTAGTATGCCTACTGGTGCTTGTGTAAAATCAATTTGTAACTGTATATATCTGTAATTGTGTGTGAGTCACATGAGAAGGGGATACTGTAGTTCCATCTTTTTTTCTTTTTTTAATTGAAATTTACCCTGCACTCACATTTAAAGAAATGGATTGCAGCGGATTCAATTTTATTCCAGAAAGTTCATTTGGTATAGAACAAGAACTGTTTCTCTGTGTTTGTTTTTATTTCTGCTTTACAATAAGCTCACATTGGTTCACTGATCTTGTTTTTAATATTCTTATCAATATTCTAGGTTCTTGAACAAAACCTACCTCATGTTTCTATATATAACATATCAAAAGGTCTTTGAGTAATATGTAGTGTGCAGGCTTTAAACATTCAGCACTTACTTCAATGTTTGGTGTTAAATCTTCTAGCTCACCAGGGCAGTGTGTTAAATACTTCAATTTTCTCAATGGACTCATTAATGTGGTTCATTTTGAGACATGAACCTAATGTCATCTTGCATATATTTTGTAAATGCTCTTAGATTTCTCTGTGCCTATAGAAACATAACAGGACATTTGTAACATTAACATTTGTAAACTACTCCCAGCATAGTGTGATACAAAACTGTATGGTAAGATAGGTGTGACTTTCACTTTTTCAGTAGCTCCATGAGAAGTATTGATAGCCAAAGCTATATAAACATGTATTTTTGGCTTGTGTACCTAGCAAACGAGGAGGACTATAGAGTTATAGTACAGATTTTCCTGAGATCTCTCTCCAGACAATGTTATCCATTAATGGCATATACTGACTCCTATACAATGTGTTTCTGTAGTTCAAGGTAGATGCCTTAGGCTGAATTAATGAGCTGGAGTCAAATCAGAAATGTAGACATCATTTTCCTACCAAAAACATAACTCCAGTGATACCTCTAGCAAGATACAATCACCTGCTAGCCTTCCACACACTGTTGGAAGGCTGGTTTGAATGAAAAGCCCCAGCAAAACTGACCCTTCTCTCAGGAAGTTATGTGCAGCATTTGATCAAAAGACCCGCTAAGGACCCCTGCTGCGAGTAATTAAGTTGTACTTTCAGTGGTTTGTCTCCAAGTCAACAACCATGTGCAGGTATTTAAAGATAGTTTATGAGATACTGGACAGTAGTACCTAAAACTGCAAAACTGGTGGCATGAACTTCATGGCTGAGGCAATGAAACCATTGAACTTAGTGTCAGACAATGATTGCCTTGTTCTGTCCAGTAGCTTTTAATACAGCAGATGAGAGACTTCTAGTATGAAAATGTAGTTTGCACAATAAAAGACTTTTTTTTTTTTAACACAAATTTTAAAATATTTAATGTGGGCTGCTGCCTCAGAATGATAACAGGAAATACCATTGTAAACCTGTAAAAGCAGTGTAATGAGATTTCTGATGCAAAATCTGATGGATGGGTACCCACCCATCTTAAATTTAGTCTGCACAGTGGTTGGTGCTTTTCCGATTATATGAGAGAAGCAAAGAAATCCAGAAATGTTCAAATCCAAATAGCAGGCAGCTGTAGTTCAGAGTTTTCTAGAGTTTCACAGGTTTTCCTCAGCAAATATGAAAGGAGTATACAAAATTTGGATCTGAATTCAGCATATAGATTTGTAATGTTTCCTACTGACCTGCATGTCTGCCTGGATTTCACACAGTGCTTAGAGATAGAGTTTAATGATAGTTTTTGTTAGGTTGATGGTTGAACTAGATGATCTGAAAGGTCCCTTCCAACTTAGACAATTCTATGATGGTAATTTCAGTCTCAAACCTCTTCTAAAAAGTATCTGTATAACAAATACTTCCACTTTCTATAACAAAAAATCTTACATTTTGAATTTGACATGGCAACTTCAATTATTTTTAAAGAGGAAAGTAAATAAAGGGGAGGAAAAACAGCAGCAGCAGAGAGCAGTGTCGGGTTGTGTATCTTTATTTAATTCCAGAACAGAAGGTATATGTATCTAATAATTGCATCTTCAGTATGTATAGACAAGATTGTTGCCTTACATGCTAACAAGTACAAAGAATAATTCACAGTAATTGCTACTCTGAAGTGATTTGGATGATCCGGGACTGGTATTTGTATTTTCTCTCTACTTCGGGAATTCACTTTACTCCAGATTGAATGCTAAAACTGAAGAGAAGATTGACATCGGCTACTGTACCATTTGCAGTCTGAAATAGTCCTGGGACAGTCTCACTTCCTTATCATTTAACATTTTCCTGCTTTGAAGCATTGGTAATTTTGAAGTATACAGGAGCCTGCCTTCAAGAACTACAAAGTACTGTTTTCACCTTACATGACTTTCTGTGTATAAATGAGAGAATATATTTGTAAAGTATTTTTGAAACAACATGCGAATGAAAACAGTTTATTGATAAAAATGCTGGTGTTTTGTTTCTATTTTTTGTAAAGGCAACAAGGCAACATTAATGAATGCTCCAGAATGTAGGGAAACTAAAGCAGAACTGTGGGGTTGCTGGAGCAAACAATGATGATGTAGTTTTACAGTGTAAGACTCTTGAACAGATTTGACCACATTAGGAAATGTAGCATTTCCTCATTTATAGTTAAAGAGGCTATATTAATCCTGTTGAAAAATGACACATTGACTTGCATCCCACAGACTCAAAAAACACAATGGGAAAGACGCTAAATATCGTATTAAGGAGCTATAAATTTTCATGCTTTGTTGGATCCATGGTCATTTAGAAGGTTTATCTCCAAGAAATTATAGCAGTTAGAAATGCTCTTAGCAGCTTATTTTTCAACAACTGCATATGGTTATTTTCTTTTACCTTCACCCCAGAGAGATGCATTTAAAGTTCTGTAAGCAGTCATATAAAATAGTGATTCATGATAAATTGCATTTTCAGTAGTAATGACTTTCATTTTGAATGTCTAGCTATGTGAGTTCTCCCATCTGAACTGACAATTAGAATAGTCTGTCCTTAGGAATAGTATAGGAATTCAATGTGGTTACTATTATTCTGCTGGTTGCTAAGAGAAGTAGTGATTTACTGCATATTGTGTGCACTAGACCCACAGAATCTTTGTGATAGCACTCTTTATAATACTTACGACAACTATGACATCCAAAAGCACTCTTGATGCATCTGGATCTAAGTGCAGTGAAACACAATGGAATTGGTGTTAATTTGCTTAGCTAAGTTTCTGTAGTTTCTGCTTTTTTCTCAAGATGCAACAAAGAAAAAAAGGAGGGGACAGGGAGAAAGGCATTTAGAAGTTGGAAGAGAAACCTTCAGACAATATGCATTTTCTTCTTCCTTAGCTTGTGGTATACAGGTTTTCACTCTTCATGATTAGATAAGACATGTATTTACAACTCTGCACTGATCCAAGTTCAGAGCTAAAACTGGGAAAAGCTACGCTGTCAAGATGGAGCTGAAAAGTCAGTAGAATAGAGGACAACAATTCAACCGGAAACTGCAGAAAAAAACAATTTCTTGCTGGAAGCAAGAGGGTATCAATTACCTGTCAAGAACTGTTCAGGTTCAGCTCACCAGGTTTCACCCACGCTGATTTTAATGATATTCAGATGCACATATTTACAGAAGAAACTAATCTAAAGTGAAGAAAACAAAAGAAAAATGAGTGGGAAGTATAAAAATGTCTTTCTCAAAGTGGCTGCCCCTCCCAAGGTTGGCCAGTTGCGAGGCATGTCATCTTGCAACATTGAACTGAGACTTCAGCATGATTTTTCTGGGACTTCAGCCTAATTTACCAGAGGCTTCAGATGTCCCTTAGCTAACTATCAGTAGTCAGATATCCAGTGGACCATGAGTCAAAACTACTGTGAACAAAGCATTGCTCAATAGCAGTGGAACTTATGATAATAAATCTTATATTTAATGGCCTGTGAACAACAGCCAGTGTTCAGTTTTCACTTCAAAACACCTTTCATTTGAATTTGGTCTACAATGAACATTTTTGAGTATCTGTGAAGAAATCCCAAGCGATTTTTAATCTAACACTTCGGTAACTAACACTTCTTTGGTGGTGGAAGGGGAAGCAGAAACTTGTTTTTACTTTTAGGGGTGGTTTCCTATGCAGGGAACGTGCTACACAGCTAACATGACAGAGGTCCCCAAATGTACATTAATCCACTGTACGTGTACACTCATGTAAGCAGTAATAAAAGGGGATGGTACCACAGGATATGAAACACACTTGAGTCAGAAAATAGCACAATTAAGGAAATAGCACTTAACTGAACATGATAACATGGTACTTTCTTTAAAACAAATCATCACTACCCAAAATCGCAACGGGTAAATGCATACTGAAAGTAGGAACATGGATCCAGTTTTGCTAGAATTCAGTTGGAATTTCCAAAGAATATGAAGTGAATAGTGCCTTCCCAAGATCTGTTAAGAATACAGGGCTTGGTCTGCCAAACCTGTGTATCAAAGAACACCCATGATCTTAGATGGAAAACAGTACAAGAGAAAAAGGCCAGTGCTCACTCACAACATTTAACTATAATGCTGGATTTCATAGGATCTCAGAAATTTTCCTGGGACACGCATAAAACGCAAAGAGTTCTTTGTCACACTCCATCTGCCCCTGAAATAATGAGCTGAGAAATAAGAGCAAATGACTCTGCAGCTGAGTGTTTTGAGCTAATTTTGGAGAAAGGGAAATTTAATTCACCTCAGTTGTCATGCAGATGAAGCTCTTAGCAGGTATACTTAATTAGAAACAACAGCAAATGAGCAATATCAAGATGCGCAGGAAGCCTGCCCCCTATTTTTCTGAATAGGTGGCTAAATTAATTTTACTCTGGCACTTCTACTGGTTCTCTATACTTTGGAAAATGACTAGAAGTTGAGTACTCTCTCACACAGTCCAAGTGGGGAAATGAAACAACATAACTGCAAACTAGTTTGTGGTTCTCAAGTAAGGAGATATCTTGGAGTAACATGCTGTAATTGCTATTAAGAATTCACCATTTCTTTACAGTTGCATCTCACCATCTTTTCCAACTCAGCTGACTTCTAACAAATACTGCACTGAATTCTGTATCACTCAGAAAGTTAAAAATTATAATGTAAGAAGCTTGCAGGCAGCTATAGGCAAAAGCAAAACAGGGAGCAAGCAGTGGGGGGCAGTGAAATATCTGTGGCTCTGCAGCCTCCTTGGCTACGGTGTAGCCCAGGAAATGGATGGTCACTCATAAAAACTTTATGTGCTGTCACCACCCTTTCCAGCTCCAGCATGGCAGCAGCAGCAACTGGCCTATCCATTGCTCATCACTCAGGAGAGACCAGTTCCAGGCTGTCTATAGATCTGGATCTCTGGGGATCCTTTTGGGCAGCAAAATTCAGTTCTGCCTAAACATCAGCTGTTGGCAAAAAAAAACAAAACCCAAAAACAAACCCAGAACAAAATTCTCTTTGCATTATGAAAGGGTTGGCAATACTTAGACAGAGAAAAGTATGGATAGCATTGTTGACTAACTTAATGACCACCTTTCCTGCAGTGCGTAAAAAGCGATACAGAGAAGTGGGTCTTTTACACACTGCAGCAGCCACAAATGGCTTTGGTTGTGTTTGTAGAATGGACATCTGCATTGTGATGACAAGAAAGATTAAATAATTTAGTATTCTATTCTGTAGGAAGTGTAGAGGGAGAAAATGAATTGAAATGCTGTGCAAGAGTAGTGCTCTCTCCAGAGGATCACCAGCTGACAGGCGTGGTGATCAACTCATTTACAAGGTCAGCAGAACTGTCTGCTTCTCCACAAACAGGAATGGGAACTGGGGTTGTTTGGCCTGGAGAAAAGGAGGCTGAAGGAAGACCTTATCACTCTCTACAACTACCTGAAGGGAGTCTATAGAGAGATGAGGCTTGGTCTCTTCTCCCAAGTAACAGGCAATAGGACAAGAGGAAATGCCTCAAGCTGCGTCAGGGGAGATTTTGATTGGGTATTAGGAAAAATTTTTACACTGAAAGGGTTATTAAGCATTGGAAGAGGCTGCCCAGGGAAGTGGTTGAGGCACCATCCCTGGCAGTATTTAAATTATGGGCAGACGCTGTGCTTAAGAGATGTGGTTTAGTGATGGGTTTTGTCAGTGTTAGGTTGGTGGTTGGACTAGATGATCTGAAAAGGTCCCTTTCAACCTCAGTAATTCCATGATATTATTCTGTGAAATAAGCTACAAAATAATAATCTTGGACAAGGTGCATGTAGCTGTTTTCAGCAACTCAGAAAGTACCTCCAGCAGCATTCACAAATGAAAATGAAATTACGGAGTTTTACCTGACTTCTGTGGTAGTTATTCTGCTCCTGCTGCCTTGGTAACAGGAATAGTCAGGCTATGGCTGTAGTTACACTCCATTTTTCTTACAGCTTTGCACCTTCAGATGTCTTGTTGAAGGAGATGCACTAAAGTGAGCAGAGCAGTCCTGACCAATGCAGCAGACAGCACTCCACAGTGTTGCAGTCTTCACTACAATTGCCTTAATACTAAGCCCAGATCTATTGTGTCACAGAGTCGAATTATTTTTTTATGTGAAAATGGCTAGATAAATGTGCTATTAACAAACGTATGAATAAAAACCAGCCCTTTGTTTGGCTGGGACAGGTAAGCATACATATTGTCACACTTTTGTAAATTTTTATGTAAAATGTGAGACAAGCCACTTTTAAACTTCCACAGCTCTTATTCCTTCAAAGTCTGTTAAGAAACAAAGTGGCATTCAGCACTACTGAATTCACCACAGCTCTCCTTGAGCTGGAAAGCCAATGCCATAAAAGTGCCACATCGGGGACAGGCCACAAGCGGAAGTATGCTGACACTGCTTCTGGTACTACTATAGCAAATATATTCCACGGACACGTCAGAGTGGAGGTGACTGCACTGTGTGAAAAAATAAAAGGCTGTAGACCCTTCATAATGACCATATCCAGCCTGTGACTATTCAGTGAAACATGCTTCTTGCTCTTCACATTCTTAGTGCTTGTTTTTGCAGTCCAAAGACCATAATCCTTCTTTTTGTTTAAAAAGCCCGTTGTAGAACCACATTTTCAAGGGTATTCAAAAACATGCTTGAGATACCAAGTTGGAAACCGTATGCTGTAGGAGTATGACACATCTTTAGAAGAATCTGAATCGTGACATGAGGCTTTCACTTGAGAGCCACACTGGTAACACTGAATGTCAACATTACATGTCTTATTCACAAATTACAAATTAACTTTTCTGAATTTTTATCTTCTGGTTTCTTTAATAATTTTTACCTCCATGGAATCAAAACAGTGTCCAGAAGGCAGATAAAACAGACATTAAAAAAACACATTAAAACATCTGTGCTGATACATTACTCTGAACACACTTGAGAATATCCTGGAAATATGACTAGGTCAAGAACTATCTTCTACTTTTACAGCCTGTTTAAGGTACCTGAAGATCTTTAAGGAACTTTTAATTATTTATGAAATGTAGATGCTTGAACCTGTAAGCTGACTGACTTGAAATCTCTGGCTGACATTCAAAAGTTTCATTGGTTTATTCTCTGGGAGATGTTTGCATAATAGAAACCAAGCTGAAAATAGCTATATCTATTCTAATGTTTTAATTGACCATGGTATTAATTTTTGAAAATTCTTGAAAAGAAACCACCAAAAAATGGAAATGTAATTACTGTAGAGACTAGACTTACGTCAAATATCTACAGAGGTTCCTCCAAACACTGAAACAAAGCATTTGG